GGGGTGATGTTTGATTCGAGGCCGTCGGGGGAGGAGCGGTGGTCTCATTCGAGGGCGGCGTATTATTGCTTGGGGTATGTGCTTGAGGTGGTGGTGGTTTGGTTGTCGACCGGGGGGAGGGTTTGGGGCGGGTTTAGGACCGGGGAGGTGTATAAGGGGCATTGGCCGGGGGGTGGGAGGCCGAGGGTGGAGAGGTGGGCTGAGTGGGTTAATACTGAGGGGGAGGTTTATGGGGAGAGGGGGTAGGAAGAGGGGGGGTAGATCGCTTTTGTTGATAGGTACTGTTGGAAAAAGGAATTTTGTTGATCGGATTCATGGAATGAGTGTGATCGATTTGTCTATTCTCAAAGATCCTCCGGTCCATTCAACCCAAACGTCTCAAACACCTTGAGATAATGATGTCTTGGGTCCTCAGAGAGAGGATACCACCCCTTATTACTCATATCCAACACCATCCCCTGCACCGAGGCGAGTATTAACTCGATGATATCAAAACAATCGTTCCGCCAGTCTTTGTATGCCTTGCTGGAGGGATCGTTGTTGGGAGGCGGCACCCCGTCATGAGTCAAATAATGACCGAGTCGATGCCGAGAGAGAGAGGCACGAAGACACAGATTCCAGCGGCGAAGGATGCTGTTGGTTGTTACATTGTCCTTGAAGTAGGCGTAGTCGAGGGCGATTTGAGGAAGGGCGACGTAGAATCGCTTTGGTGGGATGTAATCCGCTTCGCTTTTCTTCGTCTGAGAAGAGCCTTCGTATCTGATGTTTGGATTGTTGCTGGCGGTGGAGTTGGAGGTCATCTTGGGAATGTTGAGGGAGAGGGACATGCTGATAGGTGTTAGCGGTTGACTTGCAGAGAATGAAGGGCAGGAAGCATACACTTCAAATGAAAAAGTTACAAGCAATCAAAATCGTGGAAAACGGTTTGACGGAACCGCACCTTTGGCATTATGGGCTGAAAAGCAGACCACGCAATGTTTTGCGACCTCCCACTCAACTGGGCTTCAAAAGCTTGGTACAACAGAGGACAAAGCAACAGGTCTCTTTTGTGGCTATTATGTAACCGTTCGTCTGATGTGTCCATAAGTGAAAAGGGCCGCTCAGACGCAATTCTTTGTTCATGGATCACTGAAGTCAGGGTTCGGGATACAAGAGGCCGGCTGTCACCTCCTACAACAATGAATCTCGTGTTGGCATCGTGTCTCAGTCATGGTTGGAAGATGAATTTGAGAAGGAAGCAGGGGAAAAAAAGCACCAAAATATGTGCCTGATTGACCCTCCCTCAGAGGAACTATCCCCCGATCCCACCAGACTATGTGACCATCCCACAGATGTGTACGCCCTGTCGGTGGCCGTAGGCACGCTCATGTATGTAGCTAATATTGCATGGACGATGATCACGCTCCGGGAGTCGAACCCAGAACGCGTTGAATCAGTGGTGGCAGCTTGAGCATGCTCTCAAGTCCCAACCACTGGGCCAATCAAAGCATATACTCACTCCGATTTATGAAATGTGGTCCTTGCTCGGCGCCTATAAGGCAAGGAAGTTGTTCCCTCCTTGTCACATGGTCAATAGAGTGTTTAGATGATCGAGTCTGTCTTTTTATTTCGACTTTGTATTGCTCCGATCGGTATCACATTCTGCTTCGTTTACTTTTCCTCAGTTACCCTTTCCCTTGCCCTTGCCCTTTCCCTTGCCACCCTTGACCGCGTCGGCCGTCTCCAACACAGCAACACTCAAGCCCGGCAGGGTGAAGGTGAACTTGCCGCCCTTTCCGGCCTTGATGAAGGTGGTCTTCTCCTTGACAACATTGATACCAGTGAAGGGGTCGTTGTATCCATACGGATCCTCCGGCCCAGTAAGCACCGTCAAGTTGGCAACCGCTCCCTCGTTGAGACCATCAAACTTCAACGACACCGGGATCGATTCAGTCGAGTTGTAGACGGCAGCCTTGAAGATACCGGTGCCACTCTCGCTCTTTCCGGCAACGTAGAACAGAGGGTCAAAGTTGGGCTTGCCGGCCGGGGCATCGACCGGGAGCGTCTCACGGATGATGTGGTGGGCGAGGATTCTCCAGACATACCAACTGGTCGAGCGAGTGGTGAGGGCCGGGTCGGCGGCATGCTGCACCCAGGTCATGCTCCATTGCCAGCGGTCCAAGCTGCGAAGACCAGGCGCGTAAGTAGCACCGATGATCTTGTCACCGTTTCTCTCAGTGCTGATCAAGAAGATAGCCTCAGCAACACTGCCGCCCCACCAAGGCAAGGGCATGAGATCTCCCTCCCAAGCGATACCACCGTTAGGATGCGTCGACGCAGCCTCGCCGATGAGCGTCACGTTATCCTTGCTCAAGTTATCGAACTTGGCGAATCGCTCAACGAACTCATCGGGAGTCAGGTACGGGTGGTGATCACCGGCAGCACCCGCGGGGATTGTCATGTTGTCGAAGATGGAGGGCGAGGCGATGATCTTGATGTCGGGGTACTTTTCGTTGAAGGCCTTCATCATCATGGGGAAGCGGTAGTTGATGTACGACTCGAAGCCAGCAGGGCGTCCGGCAAGCCAATCCTCGTTACCGATCTCAACCCACTTGACCTTCCAAGGCTTGGGGTGACCAAGCTTCGCGCGGACGGCACCCCATTTGGTGGTCTTAGCATCGCCAGTGAGGAACTCGATTTCGTCGAGAGCCTGTTGGATGACCCATCCCATCTCGGATTCGGGAACGAACGAGCCATCGAGGGCAAGACCAGCGAAGACACCGACAACTGTGGATACGTTAGCAAGAGAAGTCACTCCAGAAAATGGGATCACATACTGGGCTCCAAGTTCATGTCATCGGCCCACTCCATGTACTCGACCAGACCCAAGCCAAGGGTTTGCTGGTACTCCCAGACACCAGCCATGCCCGGGCGATCCTTCAGAGGGCCAATGGTCTCGTACCACTTCCACCAAGTGTCCAAGGTGTTACCCTCGAGCATGTTGCCACCGGGGAAGCGCAAGAAGGTCTGTCAAGCGTTAACAAAGGCTCTACTTTTCTGACTAGAGAGGACTTACCGGCTTGAGCTCAACCATCGTCTGCGCAAGATCAATTCTCAGCCCATTCTTCCTTCCCTTGAATGTCGGAGGGAACAAGCTGATCAAGTTGAGATCCAAAGATCCGTCCTTTGCGCCCTGCACCACATCATGTCAACCCAACTTCTATCTCAGCCAATATCAAAGAAGCACATACCTCGGCATCCCACTGCACAACAAAGGTGTTGTTGCTGTTGGGCGCATCCTTGAAAGGCACCAACTCAAACTCCTTCTCGGTCCACTTCCCCTTCTTACTCCCACCCTTCACCACCTTCTTGCCAAAGGTCTCCCCGGTAATCGCGCTGCGCAAGCTAACCTCAAAGTCACCCTTGTACTCACCAGTAACGTGGAAGCTACCAGTGTACTTCTGCCTCTTGACATCCATACCCCAAAACCCAGCATTGGCCAAGCCAACCTTCTTCCCCTTGGTGTCCTTGCCCTTGCCCTTGCCCTCCTTGGGGTTGGCAACATTGACGGAGTAAGGCAACGCAGAGGAAAGGGGCTTGGCAAGCTTCTGAAGGGTAAGGGTAGCGCCACCGACGGGGCTCCAGTTGTCGAGGTTGGAGGGGAACTTCTCACTCCCTTGGAACGCGCGGTTGGAGATTAGCTCGGCGTAGATGCCGCCGTCGCCGGAGTTGTTGATATCCTGTTTGCAGTCTCCATGTCAGCAGTGCGCAAAAACAAAAGGGAGATCTCGCAAAACACATACCTCGTGCATAAGACCATACATGATATCAGTCGTCTTATTCCCCCCCGAAGACTTGACAAACAAATCAATAGCCACACATTGCGTCGACAGCGCCAACAACGCCGCGAGGGCTGGCTTGAGGTGGATCATCCTGCCGGTTTTACTTTGCACCACCACCAAGAAATGGTAATAAGCGCAAAAGCAGAATTGACACTGACAAGAGTGAAGAGGAAGAAGAAGAAGCCATGAGTTCTCGGAGGTCGGTCAACGACGATGGTTTTAAGCATCCCCTTCTTCCCCTCACACACCGAGAAATCCATCGAGTTACAACAACCGCGGCCTTGCCACCCGATGATCCGCCAGACCGTGATCTAAACAAAACATGCTGAATCCAGGTTCCCGGGATGCTTCAATATAGGCAAATATCTGGCGGGTGGGTATTTGGGTTGATGTGGTGGGTTGATCTTGGGAGGCGTTTGGTAGAAGCGCTCCAATGCTGTGGTGGGTAAGGTTTGTGGGTGGCTGTTTTGGTGCGACGCTACGCAGGGGGGCGACGGGTATTTAGAAAGATCGTGGGAATAGCTCTTCGCCGTTGGGTGATGTGGTTGCAGTTGAGGGTGCCAATGCCGAACCGAACCGATCACCAAGCCGGGGACTCGGGAGCGGGGGAGGATGAGCCATTGCCGGGAGATCGAGACAACCAAGGTAAAGAGCGGAGAAAGGTTCTGGGGATTGTGCAGTCGGTGGAGAATGCAGTGACATACCGAGCGGCGAATACCGTCAACATCCATTCCACGTTACATTGCTGTTCTAGCATGCGCACCAATAGAAAGGTCACACCTAGGCTCCATCTGAGTCAAACTTTGTTCGGAAAATATGAAAGTAAAGTTATACAAAAGTCTTGAGCATAGCTCCAAATAGGGACGGCCGTCATCCTCATCCCATTAGCGGTACCTACTCTGATAATCCTCATGAGAGCATGGGAATGGATTCATGCATTTAGACTAGCTACGATGCACCTACCGACCTAGTTCCCCTGGATGATGTAGGGTAATTTGAGGATATATGATGGATCTGACGGGCCCGTTTTCTGGTAAAGGTTCACCTTGTGTATCTTACGCGGATGTGTCAAAGTGTTAAACTTGAATACAAGTTGTTATTAACCAAGGTACTCTTCCTGTTGTCCATCTTCTTCACCACAATACGGTCTCCCTTCATCATTTTCTTCAGAAAAGGCTTGAATCGTTGTCGGAAAATGAATCGTCGTCGGAAAATGAATCGTCGTCGGAAAATGAATCTTCTTCAAAAAATTCCAGTTGATTGTGCAAGGTCTTTGACTGTCTGGACACATCTTCAAGTGGCTCCCGACGATCCACATACTTTGTGGTCGACGAGTCCTTTCATCACTCCAACTCCAGGCAATGTCTTCAGCAATAAATTCTTTGACCAAATCCCTTCGCTTCCGACGTTCCAGGTTGTTTTGCATAGATTCCATCAGCTTATCAATTTCCATAAGATAGAATTTCGCGTCTTCAATCATAACTATGCGCTTGAGACTATGAGCCAGAGAATCTGTGTACGTGGAGTCGGTGGTGTCGAAGCAGTTATAATCCCGAGGAATATAGATAATGCGAGTTACCCGAAACTTCGTTTTCCGGAGCCTCCTGACAAAATCCTTTTCGGAGTCGGACAGATCATCTTGATGATAAAACGTACGGCGGGCGAGTGCGAGCAGGGTTGCAGTGTCGGTCTCGACGAAAAGCCCACCACCATGGATTGCGTCGACAATCTCTGCATATGCAATGGACGACCATCCATGAGAGCTGAACTCAAATATCCCTTTCATTTCATGTTGGTAGACAGGGCAGATAGTGAACCCTGTGCGCTTAGACAAATCGGCACCCAGATCCAAGAGCTTGTTGATCACGGGGGCTATGAGGCCTCGGATACAGTGTGTTACACTGGCGGCTAGCAACAGTCTTGCGGCTGCCTCTGTCGGACTGACGTGGAATGCTGCAGGTGTGTCGCCGTTTATCGTATAGCCGTTGTAGGAGAATGTCCGGAGGTTCGGGTTGATTTCTCGAGTTCGCAAAACCTCCAAGGTCATCTCCAAGCTCCCGATCACAACCTCTTTCAAATCACACTTGGGGTTGTGAAACAATGCCGCATCTTCCTCATCCGACTCGTCAAAGAGTCTTGGATCCATATCATTCACTATTTCGAAGAATTTGCCATCGATCCCAAAAAGGTCATCTGATAGGGCGGCCGTGAGCAGATAGGTGTTGTACTCCACAGAAACCTGCCCAGCTTCATCCAAAGTTCTTAACCTGTCGAGCAAAAAATCATGTGCGTATTCACTTGAGGCGACGCCGAGAATATCGATCCATGGCACCATGAGCCATGGGCTGGTGCGACTGGACGGCCATGCCTCAAGAATGCCCTCGGCAGCGGAAAGAATCCCCAACACTTGCACCCGAGAGATCCCGTACCTCCTCCAATTATGCTGAATCTCGCGGAAGAAGGAAGCAGGGTTGTCGCACATTGTCCGCACGTTACTGTGTTCGAGGGAACCTTCGGGAAACAGTAGTACAGCAACAAGCACAGCCTGTGTAATTTTGACAAGCCTTTGCACTTTGCTGAGACGATCACACTGCAACAGCTTCTGTCCCTCTTCGGACCCCTCAAAGAAACTCTTTGGCCGATCGATGAATAAAGAGAACCCTGTTAAACAGGGGCGTGTTGGCGTTTTCTGTGACCTCCAGGAGCCCTACGCAACGGACTTCTATTCGGCGCGCAAGTTGATCCGATGTCTTCGTGAGAGTTCGCTCCAGGCCCTCGGTTTCTAACCTTCCATGGCAAAACTGATCCATGAGGCTCAAGTCAGTTGCCAAAAGCAATTCACCGATGGCTAATGGCTTGCGATTATCGATGAGCTGGCAGGCCAAAACTGTGTTGAGATACATTGCAGCATCTCGTCGATACAGAGGCTCGTCATCCCCAAGTCGCTTCCACATCGCCGCATATAGATCTTTCAAATCTCTCGGCAAAGCTCTCAGGCGCTTGCCTAGTTCCCAAACACTGTCGCCTTGGGCTAAACCATTTCTTAGCGACTGAAGGGCCAGTGCAACCCACAAAAACACTCCATCAGCCATCTCACAAATACTTTTCAGGAGTGGTGTTTGGTCAGAGCCAGCAAGCTGCTTGAAACGTGTGTCCAAGACACTGGAGGCATATTTCCAAATGTCTCACTGTGTGAGTTCGTGAATTTTGAACATTGGCGCATGGGATAGACCGCTTTTTAGAAGGGGTTCAGGACGACTTGCGACGCATATTTTGACATTGTTTAGAGTTTGGAGCTCCTTAACGAGGTTCAGAAGTCGCCGTTGTCCTTCTGATAGACCGGCATCGATCTCGTCAAGCCCGTCCAAAAATATACAGACGTCGGTGCCCAGATGCTCTAGAGCGAATTTGAGAACCTTCTTGAGCTCCTTCTCGTTCCAGTCAGGAGCCTCCCCTTTCTTGACCGTCCAGGGATATTGGGTGCTGATTCTGGTGGTCATCTCGGCAACGGAGTCGAGCAATTGATGGAGCAACGAACACAAAACTCCCTTGATCCTTCTCTCCATGGGTTGACCAGCAGTCCAGATGAAGTGCTCAGGATGACAGTCTGTTTCCCCGCCGCATTGACAAGTCGTATAGTTCTGGGATTATTGGCGACATACTTCATAAGAGTACTTTTGCCGGAGCCTGGCTTCCCGCATATCCAGAAAAGAGGCTCGTCAGTCGACTGCAGCCACGACAGGAACTGAATTGAAGCCTCCTGACGTCTTGCAGCGTCTCCGAGAAGCTTATGAATATCTTCATGTTCCTCGTCTATTCTGCTCTCGTCCGGTTCGTTGCTATCCTCATCGTCGTCGTCGTCGTCGTTGTCGTCGTCGCTATCATCGTCGTTTTCAGAATGCCCAAATATCCATCTTAAGGTGTTGGCAGCGGGCGTTCTGATCTGTTGCGCCGTTCGTTCAGGCTGCCGTACTTGACACTCTTCAAAAGCCTACGGTGCTTGGCTTCATCGAATATGGCGGTTTTCAGATTCGTCACCCCGGTCGTAACGTGAGTGAGAATATATCGGAGGGATGGGTCGAGAAGACACACAACAGGCGGGTGGGACCTTCCAGAAATAGCGTTTAAGATGTATGAAGATGCATGCGTCCATTGGAACGAATGAACAAATCATGTGAAGGAGATATCCTATTACCTAGTTGAGTGGACTGTCTGTCAAGCCCGTGTCTGCTGGCTGCCTCGAGAGCAGGTCGTCACTGTTCCACAAAGTTGGCCCAACTGAAGTGCCTATTCTGTATGCTGCCGTAAAAAGGACCGCACATTTTATGGTTGATATGGAGGGTTTCCAGTCTTGAGACTACCGATGGCGGATGACTATCATACAGCCAACCCAACCGGCACCCCACCCAATCCCTCCCCAACCCCAGGCGAATCCAGCATCAACTTCCCGGGCAACTCGAACCTCTGTTCTTTCACAGGCTTCCACTCCTTCTTCCTCCCAACCCCCCTTCCCAAGCCAGGTGCCGGCAAAATAGGTGTAACGGGCGACATAATCCCCTTTCCCACCCAGCCACTCCTCCTTCTTTCCTTCCTCCCTTTCCCCAACCTCTGCTCCTCCTCCTTCACCCTCAAAGCAGCAGCAGACAACCCCCCCAACTTCCTCAACACCCTCTCAAGCCTAAACCTAGCTCCATAAACAGGACTCATCAATCCTTTTGTCTTGGTCCCTGCCTTTGTATGCAAAGTGATAATCTCATCTGCATCATGAGTCCCGAGAAGTGAAGTCCATCGTTTCCATAGGCGGAACTTCTTCGCGGAGAGGGCAAGGAAGAGCTCATTTTGAGGTAGGAAATAGCGGAAGTGTTGTGGTGACAACAGATGGAAGATAAGGTTGGAGACGGCGTATTGAAGGAAGGGGTAGGATGACGTGATTAGCTGGCGTTGGTTGGCAGTCGTCGAGAGGGGCCGCAGCGGAATGTTGAGGCTGAGAAAAGGGGCTGACTTGACGTTCGGGCTTGGTTTGGGATTTTGACTTAGACTCTCAAAGTCACGCATATTGAGGTAGGTCAGACAAGCTCGGAGGAAGGAGTAATGTGAGATATTGAGGAAGTCGGTCGTGGTTAGGTTGGCCGGGATGGTACTGTTGCCAGACGTGAGGCAAGTCAAGCCTCGGCCCGAGAGGAAGAAAGAGCGGACGGAGCAGTGCCGTGCCTGTACTCGTTGAAGGCCAAGAGAGTCGTTTCCATCCGACTTGACTTCAAGGAGACCAATGGAGCGGGTTCGTACCCATCTGTGGAATTGACAGGGTGTGTCGGATGTTATCAGAGAATTCCGAAGTTGCCGGAGGTCCCGCGTCGAAAATGGGGCCCCGACATCGAGAGCCATCAACGGCCCGAGACGCTTATAGTGCTCGAACTGGTTTGGGTCGGTGAGTCTGATTGCAATGAAGAGATCATTCAGACGCATCGGCTCGGAGGCAAGTATTACCCACTGAAAGAGGATCAATGCCTCAGCCCTTTCTTTCTCGTTCAGGGTGCTTAACATCCACTCATACAGCCCGTGCAAATCACCAGGAACCTCTTGCAGGGTGCACTCGATGAGCTCCTGAGTAGCGCCTTCTAGAATAGCCGCATTGACGATATTAACCACAATCTCAGCCCATAAAAAGACGCCTCCTGCTTTTCGACCAATCATCATGACTGTACGGTTGCGTTCCTCCCATTCTGCCATCAAGTTGAGACTGACAAAACGAAGGATATCGTCGGTGTTTCGGATGTGCATTGGGATGCCGATGGTATTATAAAGCTCGGTTTCGGGGTGGTAAGCACTGGTGACGCATATGCTGAAGTTGGAGTTATGTGCGAGACGGGACAGACGACTGATCACCTCTCCGACATACATCGACCCAGCCTCATCCGGTATCTCGACGAGGATGAAGGTTCGTCTTGTGGGGGTCTTGATTGGTTGGTCGATGTAAAAATCGGAAAAGAATGACAGAACTTGGGCGTCGTCGAAGGCCTCCGGGTCAGCTCGAGGTTGCCTGTAGAGTTCGAGTAATGCCGTCCGAAGACGCGGGTCCTGCAGAAATAGCTGTCCCAAAAGACTACGACAGACACTCGCTGGGATGCTTGTATGGTGTGCTGTAATGCCGATAATGGATGCTCCAGCAGGGCCCCACTGTCGTCCAAGCCTCCTGCGTAGAGACGTGAGAAGGATGTTCTTGCCACACCCAGATTCGCCTCGTATCCAGAAGACCTTGTTCTTGTTTGGGCCACTTCGGTTGTGCCATGTCTGAAAGTCGTACAGATCGTATAGCCAAAGGCAGGTTCCAGGATAGGATGCGGCCGGGAGGGTCTCGGCGTGAAAAATTGGGGGTGGAACGAGTGCCGCCAGGCAGTCGGTTTCTTCGCTATTTAGGACATGACGCTCCTTCAGGTTAGCTGGCAATAACTTGACATCAATCTGGAGGTGACTTACTCTTTCCTCTTCGTCCCGAACAAACTCAGCCAAGCAAGTTATCAAAGCTTGGTATCCCACATCTTCCATCGACCAAAACTTAGCAACGTCGTTATGCAAAGCCCCGATCGTTGTTGCCTTTTCTCGAGGGTCTCCGATGAAGCTTGCAAGTCGATGTACGGTCTGTGTGCATTTTTCAGGTCTCTGTCCTTCTTCGCCGGGAATTGGCGGTCACTTACTGCGGCAGCCCGCTCATCAGCATCTGCAAAGCTTGGAATAACAGACTCCTGGAATGTCTTGACCCTGAAGTTGAACTCGTTCCATTGCCTGATAAACGATTGTCGTCCAAGCTCAATCTCAGCGCTGCTGCCACCACAAAGCTGTGGCAAAACAAGATCGTCCGGGTCAACAGAGAGGGTCACACTGCCCATACTTGTCACAGCGTCTCCAAGTGATGCATGTTCCGTGGCGCGGTGAGGGCTAGCGAGGAAAACCACGGCGGATGTCGAGAAAAGGACATCTTTCAGAGGTCCGTCGCGTTCGATGTCGGCAAGGCGAAGGATCTACAGGAGTTAGCCAATAAAACATGACAAGCCAGAGAGACCCTTACTTCTTTTAGGATGATACCGCCAGTGGAATGAGCAACGAAGACAAGAGGACGCGCTTGCGCCCCAAACGCTGCCCGCGCAGTAGCCAGTTCAAACAAAAACTCGCTGGCATGCGCAAATATGTCGCCTTGTAGCCGGAGGGGCTTCTTGTCCACAACCAGGGTGTGGTAGCCCCACGTAAATATCCTGGCGTTTGGGCAGGATTGCGGTAAAAAGTCCAACGGCCAGAACACGTCGTTCCTTGGGGCCTCGTTAAGCTGATCCGCAAAGTCGGCAAGACGTAATCGGGAAGATGACTTGAACGAGGCTTTTCTCAGCAAAGTTCGCGATCTGCTAACAAAGCCTTCCTCTTTGGCAAGTAACGGCTCCGAGTTCGTTCGCCTGAGTTGCGCTGTAGGAGGCGGCTTTCTCAGTCTCTTCCCTCGTGTTGATGAGGGATGTGTTGGCGTGATGGGTGTTGGCGTTTGCCCTTCGTCAAAGCACTTCCATGACCTGACAGGATGGCCGCCCATGCCATGGACCAAGATAATACTGCGCATGATGATCAGACAGTGCTCTCATTCAGCCGAAAGGGTGGTCTACTCACTCAACGGCTGAATCGATTGGTCCGTCAGGCTCATATAGCAGCGTAAGCCCAACTGACTTGATCTGGTCTTCTTGGATCTTCATTTTGGTGTGACCAATCAACCGTGCAAAACAACGAGTTGAGAAAATTACACAAAACGATGGTGATGGTCAGAATGCCATCTGGCCCAGGTTGTCGGACGTTGTTCAGGTCTTCAACATCCTTATTATTAGCCTCGCTGTGCCGCCCACCATCACGAAAGACCTGACACACAACAACATTATGAGCATTGGTTGAAACGCCGTTTCTTGTTTCTTCTGGTGGTGGTCTGGAAGCGGGCCGATGAAGTCCAACGTCTTCAACCGTGCCGTCTTCGCCTCTCTCAGGCCGCCAAAAGCCGGACACAATACCCGACCCGGCTGTTCTGGTATCGAAACGGCATGGACGCATGGCCGAGACTCAGTTTTGAGTGTCAAAAACAAGTCATGCTGATTTGAGGCAATGTGAAGCCAGTTGGTTCGTGAACTTGTAGTGATGAGCATTATCGGGAGAACGATGATGATTGGCATGGAATATTGAGAGGAGGTAAGTGATATCGATTTATTTGGAGACAATTTTTTTTAAAGAAAAAGAACAATGTAAAAGGAAGGAAAAATCCAGATCGGAGGTTTGATATTCCCCAAGCAAAAGACCAGCGAGAAATTGGATAGGTGTTGACAATCAAGCGATGACCAACCAGGTCAGTCCATCGGCGCACAGACACACCCACGATGATAAAGCCGAAACAACAGAAACGGTTTTCTCGAGAAGGACGCCGCCTAGGGTAGATAGGAATATTTGACCATTACGTTGCTCTGAAGACTGGTGTTGATGTTGGTGGGGAGAATTATCATGCATCCTTGGCATCTCCAAAGCCCCCAAATGCGACACTTCCCAACCTGACAAAGCAGCGATTAAAGTCACGTGAAGTGGCGTCCCACGTCGCTCTTCCCAGCGGCAGGGCAAAAGTTCCAGCGGCGTGTTCGTCCCATTCAGCGGCAGACCTTGAACGTCACCATCGTCGTCACGAAGTGACCCAGTGGACCCTGTCGCTTGGGTTGCTACTCTATTATCGATGTAATATATCGCCCACCTTATTTTTTACTTTCCAGTCCCTTTCGAAGCATGGCTTGGGCTCGCATACTTTGGCAGGTGTACCTGCGAGTAGAGGTTTGTCTTCCTCGCTGTTATCATGGAGAGCTTGTACTGACTTACATTTCCAGGATCATATCGTCGCCCGAGTAAGCTCCCCAATCATCCTGCTCCCCGATCCCTATACAAGGCTCTAACCGACAAAGATCCTCCAAAGCCCCGGCTTCCACCACGGCGTACGGCGCATCCACCGTAGAGTCGAAGATTTCCGATACGGGCGCAACCCACACGAACCACTGCGCCAGGGAGAGGCCTCAGCAGACCCTAGAGAAGGATACGAACAGGCTAGGAGTTTCTTCAAATACTTTATTGACGAGCTCAAGAACCAGGCCAAGGGGAGGCCAACGGATGTGGCACCCCCACCAGCACCACCCAAGAAGTGAAGAGGCGTAGGCATGCGAGGAGCAGCGAACATTTTAAGGAAAACACGATGCACGATCAATCCTCCGCCGTCAGTAAGAAAATACACCGGCTTATCAGAAGCCAATGGTATAACACCAGCTGGTGCGTGGCATTGCCCGACAGAGTTCGGGATGGGGCACATCTCCGGAACGAATGTGCCCCCATACAGCCTCAGGATACCATTCGCAGAAGAATTTGGCTTGCGCTAGTAGCGTTGGGAACCAAGATATTTCTACTAGCGGGAAACTTGGATGGCACGTTTTTGGCATATCACCGAGCTGTACACAACGCCATACGATAGACTCCGTCAATGCCAATCAATATCAAGATTCAGACCTTGCAAGCTATTCCCACTTCCTCGACATACCAAGGTCTTGTACCCACAATTGCCCACATCACCACCTTCCCGCTATCCGTCTCCTATCATTTTCAATACTTAGGACCTTGCAGTTGCACCATCAGTGGTATCGCCAGTCTGTCAGTGGTATTTCCTTCAGCTTGACAACACACACACAGCCCCATTATGCATGGTTCGCACTGCATAACCCCTGCGTATTTGCTACGTGATAGCACGTTGGGGATAACGTACCCTACAGTTGTCCATGGTACATGCGATGATAGTAGCAATGTTGCAGCCGCAAAGTGGGGAGAAGACTGTTTGATTGACCCGATGGTTACACGTCCTTGCTGACATGCATCTTGGCAGTCATCAACAATGGCTTGTTGGATGAATACAAATCACGGCATGCAGGGTTCCCCACCAGAACTGCCCGGGTTGAGGGTGATCTTTA